CCAACAGCAGGACAGAATAAAGAGAAATTAAGGAGTCAATCCCATTTTCAACTGCACCCAAAACCATAAGATACCTAGGAATAAACCTAACCAAAGAGGCAAAGAATTTGTACTCAGAAAACTATAGAATACTCATGAAAGAAATTGAGGAAGACACAAAGAAATGGAAAAATGTTCCACGCTCATGGATTGGAAGAACAAATATTCTGAAAATGTCTATGCTACCTAGAGCAATCTACACATTTAATGCAATCCCTATCAAAATACCAGCAACTTTTTTCAAAGACATGGAACAAATAACCCTAAGATTTATATAGAGCCAGAAAAGACCCTGAATAACCAGAGGGATGTTAAAAAAGAAAACCAAAGTTGGCAACATCCTAATTCCAGACTTTGAGCTCTATTACAAAGCTGTCATCATCAAGACAGTATGGTACTGGCACAAAAACTGACACATAGATCAATGGAACAGAATAGAGAGCCCAGAAATAGACCCTCAACTCTATGGCCAACTAATCTTCAACAAAGCGGAAAAGAATGTCCAATGGAAAAAAGGTCTCTTCAAGAAGTGGTGCTGGGAAAATTGGACAGCCACATGCAGAAGAATGAAACTGGACCATTTCCTTACACCACACACAAAAATGGACTCAAAATGGATGAAAAATGTTAATGTGAGAGAGGAATCCATCAAAATCCTCGGGGAGAACACAGGCAGCAACGTCTTCGACCTCGGCTGCAGCTACTTCTTCCTAGAAGTATCGCCAAAGGCAAGGGAAGCAAGGGCAAAAATGAACAATTGGGTCTTTATCAAGATCAAAAGATTTTGCAAAGCAAGGTAAACAGTGAACAAAACTGGAAGACAACTGACAGAATGGGAGAAGACATTTGCAATTGACATATCAGATAAAGGGCTAGTACCCAAAATCTAGAAAGAACTTACCAAATTGAACACCCAAAGAACAAATAATCCAATCAAGAAATAGGCAGAAGACATGACCAGACATTTCTGCAAAGACAACGTCCAAGTGGCCAAGAGACACATTAAAAAGTGTTCCACATCACTTGGCATCAGGGAAATACAAATCAAAACCACAGTGAAATACCACCTCACACCAGTCAGAATGGCTAAAATTAATAAGCCAGGACAACAGATGTTGGCGAGGATGTGGAGAAAGGGGAACCCTCCTACACTGTTGGTGAGAATGCAAGCTGGTGCAGCCACTCTGAAAAACAGTATGGAATTTACTCAGAAAGTTGAAAATAGAGCTACCCTACGACCCAGCAATTGCACTACTAGGAATTTACCCTAAAGATACAAATATAGTGATCCAAAGGGGCATGTGCACCCCAATGTTTTTAGCAGAAACGTCCACAAAAAATATGGAAAGAGCCCAGATGTCCATCAACAGATGAATGGATAGGGAAGATAGATATTGAATATTGTAGTCATCAAAAAAAAAAACTCCACAAAATTTTGCCCTTTGCAACAAGTGGATGGAACAAGAGGGTATTACATTAAGCAAAACAAGTCAATCAGGGAAAGACAATTATATGATCTTACTGTTATAAGGAATTTGAGAACAAGACAGAGGATCATAGGGGAAAGAAGGGAAAATTGAAACAAGACCAAACCAGGGAGGGAGACAAACCATAAGAGACTCTTAATTTCAGGAAACGAACTGAGGGTTGCTGGAACAGAGCAGTGTGGGAGGGATGGAGTGGGTGGGTGATGGACACTGGGGAGGGTATGTGCTATGAATGCTGTGAATTGTGTAAGACTTACAAATCATAGACCTGTACCCCTGAAACAAATAATACATTTTATGTTTTAAAAAATCCTAAAAAACTAAATAAAATAATTTTAAAAGAACAAAACCCAGGTATATGCTAATTATAGGTTACACACTTTAAAGAAAAAGAATGTCTGAGAAATATAATGGAAAATAAATATCATACAAATACCACCTGAAGAAAACTCATAGTTAGTCAGACACAGGGAACTCTAAGACTCAAAAAAGAAAATCACACATAGATGGCAATATCTTAAGAAAACAAGGCAAATGGTTTTACACATAATAAAAGGAACATCTCAAAACTCTATCCATCACTATATCCAATCAGGAAAGTATTGCTTTAATGTAGCTAATATAAGTAAGGAGGAAACTGCAGCATGTCAATGGGTTTTATTTTTAATTATCAAGTTTTATTGATAATATTTAGAAATATTGGTTGGATACAAGATTATGACTACATGCCTCCAGAGGAATGATTTAAATAACAAATTAGTATCTATCCCCAGAGCAGGACAATTGATTTATCTACTTAATGGAAATTCTACCAACCATTTCTTATTGTCTGGATTTTGCTTAAATACCCAGAAGCTAGTATACTGCCATGTGTTTGTGTTTTTTTGTGTGTTTTGTTTTTTAATAATTTAATTTTTTATAAACATATAATGTATTATTAGCCCCAGGGGTACAGGTCTGTGAATTGCCAGGTTTACACACTTCACAGCACTCACCATAGCACATACATACCCTCCCCAATGTCCATCACCACACCACCCTCTCCCTACCCCTCTCCCCCTGGCAACCCTCAGTTTGTTTTGTGAGATTAAGAATCTCGTATGGTTTGTCTCCCTCCTGATCCCATCTTGTTTCATCCATTCTTTTCCTACCCCCCAAGTCCCCCACGTTGCATCTCCACTTCCTCACCCAAAGAACAAATAATCCAATCAAGAAATGGGCAGAGGACATGAACAGACATTTCTGCAAAGACATCCAGATGACCAACAGACACATGAAAAAGTGCTCCACATCACTTGGCATCAGGGAAATACAAATCAAAACCACAACGAGATACCTCACTCCAGTCAGAATGGCTAACATTAACAAGTCAGGAAATGACAGATGCTGGTGCAGATGCAGAGAAAGGGAAACACTCCCACATTATTGGTGGGAAGCTGGTGCAACCACTTTGGAAAACAGCATGGAGGTTCTTCAAAAAGTTGAAAATAGAGCTACCCTATGACCCAGCAATTGCACTACTGGGTATTTACCCTAAAGATACAAACATAGTGATCCGAAGGGGCTTGTGTACCTGAATGTTTATAGCAGCAATGTCCACAATAGCCAAACTATGGAAGGAACCTAGATGTCCATCAACAGATGAATGGATAAAGAAGAAGTGGTATAGATATACAATGAAATATTATGCAGCCATCAAAAGAAATGAAATCTTGCCAATTGCAACGACATGGATGGAACTAGAGGGCATTATGCTTAGTGAAATAAGTCAATCGGAGAAAGACAACTGCCATGTGTTTGTTAAACGAACAAGATGGGTAGATTTGAACCTAATATATTTGGGCAACCACAGATACACAATTAGCAAGAAAAGCAGCCTCTGGATTAGTAATCTGCCATTTGGCAAGTCCAGTTTAAGCAATATAGCCAGATTAAGAAAAGAATGATCTCAAACAGGGTCAAACTTTCTGTAAAGAGCCAGAAAGTAAGGGGTGCCTGGGTGGCTCAGTTGGTTAAACATCAGCTTAAGGCTCAGGTCATCATCAGAGTATTCCAGGATAGACCCTGGGGCTCCCTGCTCTGCAGAGAGTCTGCTTATCCTTGTGCCCCTCCCCCGACTCGTGCTCTTTCTCTCTCTCAAATATATAAAAGCTCTAAAAAGAGCACTAGATAGGAAATATTTTAGGCTTGCAAGACATATAGCATTTACTGCAACTAATCAACTGTAGCATATTTTGTTATCATGAAAGCAGTCATAGATAATAGGCACATGTGTGCCTATATTCCAATAGAGATTTATAAAACTTTTGATACAGTGCAATTGTTCTCAAAAGTGTAGTCTCTAGATGAACAAAATTAGCATCACCTGGGAACTTGATAGACATAGATTCTCAGTTCTACCCCAGATCTACTGATCAGAAACTGGAAGAGATTAGACACAGCAATCTATACTTTAAGCCCTCCAGGTGATTCTGAAGCTTAATAAAGCTTGAAAATCACTTATCTAGGGAGCACGGCATCATGAAACTCATCTCCAGCCATCTCCGTACTGAATGTCAAGATTCAAATACCAAAGAGAAGGACAACTAAACACCCATCCTTAGGTACTATGCCACCTTCATGTTCAGCAATCAAGGCCTAAATGTGTTTAAGGGATACAGTGGGAAGGAGAGTACATAGCCAAAAACAAGTTACTACATTACAGATGAGGAAACTGAGCCAACATTTAAATTACTTGTTTTAAGGTCTCACAGGCCCTCCTCAACATGCAAAACACAATTCACTTAGTCCAAAATTAGTTTTTTCCCTACCTCTGCCGGAACTCATATCCTAGATTCTCTTCATCGTTTCTAACTCAGGTGTGAGGGATGGGTGGCATATAACTACTTCAAGATACATTAGATAAGCCAATAAATTTCCCCTACTATTCTTCTATCTTCATTGTGTCTTGATTCTGGCTTTCTTCAATCTCTAACTCTCATTAACATGTTGAAGTTATATAGTTTACCAACATAGCAAAATTTCTACCTATAACAAAAGCATCTCAGAAGAGATGCTAAACCCACATAGACACCATCATTACCTCTATTCTTACTTCTACCAACTTCCCTCATCCCATCCCACTCTCCAGGCTGCACACACACCTCTTCTGGTCTTGTATTTTCCTGGCGGTTAGCAATATCATGGTCTGCAATGATGGGGGCAAAAACCCCCAAGTTTTTCCAAACACACAATGAGAATACCTACTATTTTGCTCTTCAATTGGAGAAGCTTAATCTTAGCCCACTCTTAGTTTTCATACTTGAAGGTTAGGGTGAGGTTAAAAAATTGCAAATAGAAGCCTAATATAAAGAATGTAAAAATAAGTCCAAATTATTTTCAAGTCTTTTTAGGAAGTAGTAGTGGGCCTAACTGCATTATGATGTTCATCTGCCACTATATAAGAAATAGGAAGGATGAGAAAATCTCATTTTTTAAAATATCTAATGATTCATGAATTTGCATATCATCCTTGAGTGGGGCCATACTAATCTTCTCTGTATTGTTCTAATTTTAATATGTGTACTCCCAAAGCAAACATAAGGGAAAAACTTGTTTTTAAAGTAACTTAAATATTAACTCTAAATATATTAGTTCTAGTTTCCTGGGTCCAAAAATTCCCTAATCTGGCTCTTAAAGTGAAGTCAAATGAAAAATAAGATCGATATTACATGTATTTATAGAACTCTTCAGCATGAATTACATATTCTAGTTGCATGTGTTTTCAAACTTAGACATTCTCATGGAAAATCTTAATATTTATCTATAATTTATCTTTAAACATAATTTTATATAAAATGTGTATTTACAAGCAAATAAGATGTTGAAATCTTTGCACATTAATGCTTTGTATTACATTCAACATAAATAAAGAATTCATGAAGTTTTCTGTTCAAGACTGACCACACACACACACACACACACACACACACACAGATTTTCTCTACTCAGAATCCATTAAAATAATAAAGCATTAAAGGATATAAGCCAAAATTGAAGAGATAAGATACAGATATTCAAGAGTTCAAGAAACTTCTAGATGCAAAGAGTACTGAGGTAGAGCCAAGGAAGTCACAGGTAACAAGAGAAGATGCTACAGCTAACCTGGCCAGGCAGAACTCTGGGGCTTCTCCTGAGTCCAGACAGCCATGTACAATGGAAGAAGATCTTGTAAGATAGGGCAATAACAAAATGATTAACTAGTGATCTATGTGTGGGATGGTTCATTTTCCAAAACTTTATCCCAGGGGGGGAAAAAAAAAGTATGGGGGTACAGATTTTTCTCTAAAGAAATTAAATAAATTACACAGAGGATTAGGTCACTAGAATGGATGTACATAGTATATGATAAACTCCACATATATGGATATAAATTCCATATCATCTCTATGGACATAAATTCTATATATGAGACTGAAAAGTAGAGAGAAAACAGACTACCTAGAAACTTGAGGCAAAAAACAAACAAAAACAGTGAGGAGTACCCTGGGCTTTCTCTCCAGTTCTATCCTAGACTGGATTATTAGAGAAGGAGGCAACTCAGAAACACCAATAAGCAGAGATGAGGGGGAAAACTGAAAAACACTCCAAAAAAAAACTACCTTCTATAAGCAAAAAACAAGGGGTATCCTAGCAAAACAGAAAATATTAGACAATAACCAATCTGTTCCAGCCAAATAGCACAGATAAAAACTGCAGCCTCCATTCCCCACCCCCTTCAGCAACCATCAAGCAGACAGCCCAGACTTTTATATTTGCAGAGACATAATGTAGCTTTTTAAATCCTGCTATTAGGGTGGTGTCAAAGACCAAGTGAGGAGGTAGTAATTTCATCCTGAGCCCAGAATTTCATCTTCAAAGAACTAGCAATGAGAAGGAATTTCATCATCTTATTGTTGGGCAGGGATCAGAAACCTGGAGAGGCAGAACTGTTACCACTCAGCAGTAATGAGGGTATACCCTCACAGTCAGTGAAGACCTCATAAGAAGTCTGGTATTTCACACTTATGCTGCAGTAAAAAAAAAAAAAAAAAAAAAAAAAACTCTTATAACTTCCCCATTGTGTGGTATTGGAGACTAGTCAAGTTGGGACTTTTCACCAATGCTCAAGGGTAACATGACTACCTTCCTACAACATCAGTGGAATACACGCAAATAGCAGTAATAAGGCGACTCCTCCCTCTCCCAACCAGGATGGTATCAGCAAAGACTCAGTGGGGAGCCTAAGCTCCCACCCTCTGCCCAGAAATAATAAGAGACAGCTCCTTCCTTCACCAATACTGACCATCAACAGAGGCTAAGTAGAGAACTTGGACTTCTATTCTCACCAGCAGTAACAAGGCAGTACCATGTTTTATCCACTAGAATGGTGCCCAAAAAGTCCTGTGATAGCACAAGATTTAAATAAGATCCAGTCTTGTAACATCCAAGTTTCAGGAAAAAATAGCACGCATAATACCAAGAATCAAGATGCAAATTTCATGATAAAAAACAAATTTCAACACCAAGATGGTACAGATTTTAGAATTATCAAAGATTTCAAAGCACCCATCATAAAAGTTGAGTAATTACAAACACACTTAATAAAAAAAAAAAAAGGAAGCCTCAGCAAATATACAGAAGTTATAAAGAAAAAGCAAATGGAATTTTAGAACTAAAAAGTTTAATAACTGGGAAAAAAATGAGACAACAGAATAGTGAAACAGAAGAAATAACCAGTGAACTAGAAGACAGAACATAGAAATTTCCTAATCGATGAGAAAATATACACCCCCCCCCCAAAAAAAGGGCCTCAGGAATTTATGGAACTTTAAAAAAAAAAAAAAATCTGATGTTTATGTCATTAGAGACCCAGAAGGGAAGACAGATGGGGCTAAAAGGTATTCAAAAAAATAATGACTGAAAATTTCCCAAATTTGGCAAAAACAAAGCAAACAAACAAACAAACAAAAACCAGATCCATAGCGTAATCCCCAAACAGGATATATGCAAAGACATCCATTCCACAGCACATCATATCAAACCTAAACAAAGACATAAAACAAAAATCTTGAAAGTAGCCAGAGAAACAATACACTACTTACAGATTTTTTTTCCATCAAGGAGCATGGAAGCCAAAAGGAAATGATAAAACATTTTTCAAGTACAAAGAACAGTCAAACCAGAATTATCTATCCAGTGAAAATATATTTCAGGAATGATGGGGAAATCAAGACATTCTCAGATGAAGGAAATGAAAATTTATCACCAGCAGCTCTACCCTAAAAGAATAACAAAAGGAAGTTCTCTAAACAAAAAGGAAACGACAAAAAGTGAAATCTATAAGACACTGATGAAGAAATCAAAGATGTAAATAAACAGAGACATTCTATACCCGTGGATTGGAAGCCTCAACAAAGTCATGATGCCAATTCTCCCCAAATTGATATACATGTTTAATGCAATTCCTATTAAAATTCTGGCAAGCTAAAATTTATATGGAAAGGCAAAGGAACTAGAAGAGCCAAAACAATTTTTTTCCTTACCAGTTTTCAACAAGCTTTTAAGTCTGTCTCAGATAGCCATTTTAAAACACAGAACACAAGAATCTGCATGTTATCCTTGTGCAGGGGCCATGCTAATCTTCTCTGCATGGTCCTGATTTTAGTATATGTGCTGCGGAAGCCAGCATGAGCCAAAACAATTATGAACAAGAATCACGTGAGAGGAATCACTCTGTCTGATTTCAAGACTGATTATATAGCCACAGTAATAAAAACTATGTGTTATTGGTGGAGACTGAGAAAAAGTAATGGAACAGAGAATTCAGGAATAGCCCCACAAGTACAACTAACAGATTTGTGACAAAAGTGCAAAAGATCTTCAATGGAGGAAATAGTCTTTTCAAACTAATGGTGCTGAAATAATATCCACAGACAAAAAAAATAAATCTTGACCTAAACCTCATACCTCATATAAAAACTGACTCAAAATAAATCAGACTTAATTATAAAACAAACTATAAAACTTGTAATATATAAAAAGAAAGGAAGAGAGAGAAACAGGGCAAATCTTCAGGACCAATGACTTGATTAAGAGTCCTCAAACATTACACCAATACCATGAAAGGGGGTAGGAGGACCAAATTAAGATGGACTTCATCTATTAAAAACTGTTGATCTTCACAAGACCCTGTTAAGAGGACAAAAGACAACAGGAAAAAATATATATATATCGCAAACCCCGTATCTGACAAATGACCCATCCTAGAATAATGAACTCTTAGAATTCAACACTGTAAAAACAAACAATCCAAATAAAAAAGTCAAAAGAAATGAAGAAACATTTTACCAAAGAGGAAAAATGGATGAGAAATATATATGAAATTATGTGCAACATCATTAGCCATTAGGGAAATGGAAGAAACCATGAGACACACTCTCATCAGAGCAGCTTAAAATAAAAAATAACAATAGCAAATGTTTATGAGAATGAGAATGTGAAGAAACTGGATCTCACATAAATTGCTAATGAGAATATAAATGGTACAGCCATTCTGCAAAACAGTTTGGTCATTTCTTTTTTAAAAAGTAAAGATAAACTTACCATTCAACCCAGCAATCACACTCCCAGGCATTTATCCCAGAGAAATGAGAACTTTTATCTGTATAAAAACTTGTACACATTCGTTCATAGAAGCTTTATTTATAATAGCCAAAAACTGGAAATAATCAAAATGCACTACAATGGGTGGACAGCTGCAGAAAGTGTAGTACATAAATACCAAGGGATATGACTCAGTAATAAAAAGGAACTGCTACACGCAACAACTTGGATGGATCTCAAGGAAGTTATGCTGAGTGGGGGAGGGGGAGACAAATCCCCAAAAGTCATTACCTGTATGATTCCATTTAAAATGATAAAATTATAGAGCTGGAGAAGAGATTAGTGGTTGCCAGGGCTTAGGGACTGGAGAGGAGGGGTGTCCATAGAAGGCTAAGTGTTAATTATTAAAGGACAGCATGATGGAGAACTTTCTGATGATGAATAATTCTGTATCTTGACTATAGTGGCTGTTACACAAATCTACACATGATAAAATGGTACAGAATTACACCTACACGGTGCTAATATCAAATTCCTGTTTTGAGTATTATAACTATTTAAGATGTAACCACTGGGGAATAAAAATAACTATCAGATAATACACAATAAACTTCTAAAGGATTCCTTAGGGGAAATGAAACACCCACCTATTAAATCTACTTAAAATAAGTCGGTTTGCTCTATTATTTTTTTGACTTGGAAGGAGAAGCAGGTTTTGAAAACACCTTGCTGATGTTTCTAGTTGAGAAAGGTCAATAATAGTGTAAAGCAAAAATTGCATTGCTTTTGCGACAGCATTAACTTTCTTCAGAAATTAAATTGATTCCATAGTTAATTGTAAATAAATCTAAATCCTTATAAACAATTCTAACACATCTCTTCAAACTACTTCATATGTAAAATATCATTTTTGTTATGTAAAACATTTGTAATATCAACAAAATGAAGTAAAATGAGGCTACTGAAACTGAATGAAACAATTTGTCAAAAAAAACATTTAAATAGTCCTGTTTTTGAGATATTCCAGTACCAGTAAAAAAAAAAAAAAAAAAACAAAAAACAAATACACACATCCCTCAACTAGTCAATATTTTAATAATAAACAATCTTAGCTGATACGTAAAAAGTGCTTTCACAGTCTGTTACCATCTAAAATAATACATCATATAATTTTCAAAATGTGTTCTTTGACTTCTAACCTCTGCTCTTCTTTAGAATTACCTGTGAGGGGGGAAAAAAATGAAGATTCATATTATACCCAAGGCAAATAAAACAGAATTCCTCGACAAAAAGTTCAATCATCTTATGTGCATAATATGCAAGAGTCTGAGTTTATAAAACCCAGTTTGGAAGGTGATTATGGAATGTTTTACTTTATAAATGGTCCTAGACTTCCCCCTAAACTAGTCCACTTCTCTCAAAAAATGTGAAACAAGCAATTCACAAAATCTGGTCTTATAGTAACTTCTGAATATCAATTTCTTCAAATGTAAACCAAAAGTACCCAGATTAGTGGTTCCCAACTTGAAGTTTGTAGACAATTTGGTAATCTAAGGAGTTAAATAATTTTCCAAAAGTCAAAATCCTATTATAAATCAGGCATCAACAACTATAAAGCAATACAAATCCATTGCAACACCAAATTTCTTATATTTGAGCTAGAATTCTATCAATTTAGAGACAAAGACTAGTCATCATATGCTAAAAAAAAACAAATTAGGTAGACAATTTTCAAAACATATAGCCCATGAGAAAATAAAATAAAACCAGATCTTTAGCTATAAAAGATCAGAAGCAGTAAACCAGAATATATCCAGAAATTTTTTAAAGAACAATAAATACACCTATAATAAAAACAAACCCTAAATTTAAAATACACACATATACTCTTCAAGCTCTTAGCCTTACTTTTACCTGCAGAAAAAAAATACTTACATTGCCTTTAATAGTCTAGAAACATATTGAAACATAAGCAAATTTGAAGCCCCTAAAAAAGTACTAGGGCATGCAATTTCTAGGCTTCCACAGAGACCTTCAAATAGGTCTATATCCCAGGCCAGTACTTGTACTTCTCTGGTTCTACATGTTAGCATGAGCACTACAAAATAAAGTACAACATACTCAAATTTGGTGAGTATATTATGTACCCAAATCTTTACTATGTTCAGTTAAACAGAGTTCAACAAATTTCTTTACCGCTGTTTTTCATAAACTTTCATAATTTTACATAACTATAGTTATATAAAGATGATGGCATTGTGGAAAACTGGATAAAAGACAGATGGGAACTCTATTATTTTTGCATCTTCTGTGAGACTATAATTATTTCAAAATTTAAAAAAATTAAACAAAAGTCCACAAAGTAGACTGTCAAAAATATGTATCTCTCCCACATCATCCACCAGTCAACCATGGTTGCCAATTTCTTACATATTATTTTAGAAACAAGCTCTCTATATAACATTGTGACTATCCAATTTCTCTGACCCCCCCCCAAAAATTTTTATGGTGGGCCATAAATTTGATTTCATTTAACATCAAATGAAAATAATCTTAGAGACATATTTAGAAAAAACTATCCTAGGTATCATATTCTTACATTATATAGAAATACCAGTAAGAAGCAACTTTCTCTGCTTATATAAATGATTTGATTCATAAGTCATTATGACTTATGACATATCATAAGGTACCTCAAAACAAGTAATTAGGAAAAATTAAAATGATCAAGAAGTTTTCATAAATTTCAAGGTGATAAGCCTTCTCAACTATGTATAGCCTACTATAAATCATACAGTTTAACAGCCAAACATTCATTTCCCTTAAGTAATGATAAAGCATTGGCCATGAATATTCCCATCAGAAATCCATAATATATACTATAGAAAAAGAAAATCTCCATAATTAAACCCATTAACATAAAAAGCCACACCTCCCCAGCTATAGGCAGCTGCCTATATTGCCCTGTACCTAGGTAACAGTTACACTGCCAGGGAAATAGCAGCTGACAACTGGTCAGCATTCTGGGCCTAATCCATGCCAATTCTGTTGTTAACTATACCAGGATGCCAGCATAACTGAGGTAGGGTGGGGAAGCCAAACATCAGTCAAAAAAGCTAAATAAGGAATCCAAAGCAGACAGAACTGATATACGAGATGATAATTTTTTAAGTTAATTCTTGCTCAAGAAAAGAAAGATTTTACCTTTGCTGCAGCCTGTACATGCTCCTTTTTAATGATTCCATACTTATTCTCAAAAGCATTCATTCTGGACTCTTCTGCTAACCGATGAACAAACAGTAAACAATTCAGATGCACCTTTAAGAGAAAATTCAAAAGAATTTTTATTTTTTTAAAGATTTTATTTATTCATTTATTTATTTGAGAGAGAGAGAGAGAATGAGGGAGAGAGCACAAGCAGGGGGAGAGGCAGGCAGAGGGAGAAGCAAGCTCTCCACTGAGCATGGAGCCTGACATGGCACTAGATCCCAGGACACTGGGATCATGACCTGAGCTGAAAGGCAGACACTTAGCTGACTAAGCCACCCAGGCACCCTCAAAAGGATTTTTAAACTCAAACACTGATGCTTTGAGTAATGATTTTTTAAAAGATTCCAAAATTTTTATTTTATTAATTTTTATTTTATTAATTCCAAAATATCTATTAGTGTGCTTAAGTCCATTCATTTTTATTTAAAGTAACACAGAATTCGATTTAATTTAAGTCCAATTTAAATTCCATACAAAAGAGACTTAGTATCAGGAATACATAAACCAAGACTATATATAAGGTTGACCAAAGTCCATAGACAATAACATTTTGTAAAGCATAATTACAAAGCTTAGGTAGGACTCTATTAAATAGCAAATATTCTTGCTTCCAACTCCAAATAAATTTAAATTTATAATGGAATTTCCCAAAAAATTTAAAAGCAAAACATCAAAAATGTGTAAGAATGATCATCTCATTCTACGAACCATGAGTTTAAGATTTTTTAACCAGGTATTTAATTTGAAACATCTGTTCAAAAACATGTTAGTAACTGGAATGTTAACCTTCCTGAAGTGAAAAGTATATGTATAAAGGTCAAGTTACTTGTCATCCAACATATCAAAATAATTATATCTACTATTAATCTTTGAGGCCCTTAAGAAATTAAAATAGATAATATAAGCAGATAAATAATATTAATTACTTGAGTACAATTAGAAAATATCCTTACTATATTGGTGATTGATATATTACACGTTCTTTGCAGTTAGAACAATACTCATCTAATATTCACTATGAAAACTACACACAACCACTTCCCCTCAGTTTACTAAACATTAAATAACTAGGTATTGTAGTGTTTTAAATTTAAATATTATGCAGAAATCTTTGGTGGATGGTTATAGATGTTTACGAATGTTTGAGTGATATCTGGAAAAAATAGGAGATAGGGAATTTAAGTTTAATAAGATAAAGAACCTATAGAAGGACATCTTCCTTTGGTACTTTCTTGATGCTGGTCTCCTTTAATTCTCACAAGAACTCTAGGGTAAAGCACCAATTCTGATTCTTTATGTAATACCATGTTATTCGATTCTTTTTTTTTATTAACATATAATATATTATTGGCTTCAAGGGTATAGGTCTGTAAATCATTAGTTTTACCTTCCCCAATGTCCATAACCCAGCCACCCTATCCTTCCTCCTAACTCCCCAGCAACCCTCAGTTTGTTTCCTGAGATTAAGAGTCTCTTATGGTTTGTCCCCTCCCGATCCCAACTTGTTTCATTTTTCCCTCTCCTACCTCCCACGACCCCCCACCCTGCCTCTCAAATTCCTCATATCAGAGAGATCATATGATAATTGTCTTTCTCTAACTGACTTATTTTGCTTAGCATAATACCCTCTAGTTCAATCCACATTGTTGCAAATGGCAAGATTTCAGGGTTTTTTTGATGGCTGCATAGTATTCCATTGTGTGTGTGTGTGTGTGTGTGTGTGTGTGTGTGTGTGTGTTTATACCACATATTCTTTATCCATTCATCTGTTGATGTACATCTAGGTTCTTTCCATAGTTTGGCTATTGTGGGCATTGCTGTTATAAACATTCGGGTGCATGTGCCAGAAAACTATAAAGTACTCATGAAAGAAATTGAGGAAGACACAAAGAAATGGAAAAATGTTCCATGCTCATGGATTGGAAGAACAAATATTCTGAAAATGTCTATGCTACCTAGAGCAATCTACACATTTAATGCAATCCTTATCAAAATACCATGAATTTTCTTCAAAGAAATGGAACAAATAATCCTAAAATTTATATGAAACAAGAAAAGACTCCAAAGAGCCAGAGGAATGTTGTAAAAGAAAACCAAAGTTGGTGGCATCACAATTTCAGACTCAAGCTCTATTACAAAGCTGTAATCAAGACAGTATGGTACTGGCACAAAAACTGACATATAGATCAATATTCAATTCTTTTTTAAACTTCCAATGACATCCCATTTCCTATTGCAGCAAAAACAGTATATAACATGGCGTAATTTCCTATTAATCTAGATTTCCTACTTCTAAAGATAAATAGCTTCCTGATATGCCCAAGATAAATTCCTTAATACTAAACCCCATTTGACTAGACTTTTCCAGTTTCATCTCTCAGCTTACAGTTCTATAGTAAGTCTTTTGAACTTATTTCTATATTCAAATAAAACCTTGCCTACAGGCATCCTACTAGTTTGTAAACGTCTCTGAACGTCCAACTGCCCCCAGTACGTAAGGTTTTGCACCCTGAACTTCCTACCACTGCACATACTATATACACCATGAAGCAATTTCTCACCTGTCCTCCTCAATGACATATAAGGGTAAGAACTATGTTTACCTTCCCCAACATTGTATCATCAGTGATCTCTAGTCCATGCACAATACATAGTAGGTAGTGAACAGTTATTGCATGAACAAAAGATTTCTCCATATCTCCCCAAATTAGGCAAAAAAATTTTTTAGCCATTCCCAAATAAACCACACCCACTGTTTTAGAGAACTGATGGATAATGGAGGTGAAAGTGTGGGGGGATGGGCAAAATGGGTTTAGAGGTGTTGGAGATACTGGCCTCCAGTTATAGAATGAATAAGCCATTGGAATGAGTAAGTAACGGGAATAAAAGGCACAGCTTAGGGAATATAGTCAATGTACTGTTACAACATTGAATGGTAGTGGTAGCTACACTTGTGATGAGCACACCATACAAACTTGAATGACTATGTTATGCATCAACTATACTTCAATTTTGAAAAAATGAAAAGCAAAAATGAAAAGGGAAAAAACAAAAAACCCACACTGTTTTGAGACTTGGTTCACCCTATTAATCTACATGGAAAGTCTTTTCCTCTTCTTAAGTATGAGCCATAGATACTGAGACAAATTAATATTACTCTGTCACAGAATTTTTTTTAAGCAACCTAATCCTCTCCCATAAAATAGTTAATTGAGTGGTGCCACTCAAATGTACTAAGGTTATTTGGGTTTGGTTTTGTTTTGTTTTAAGATTTGTTTATTTTAGAGAGAGAGCTTATGGGAGGGCAGAGAGAGGCAGGAGAGAATCTCAAGCAGACTCCCTTTTGAGCATAGAGCCTTAAGCATGGCCTGACCTCATGACCCTGACATCACAGCCTGAGCTGAAATCAAGAGTTGGAAGCTCAATCATCTGAGCCACCCAGGTACCCCTGCACTAAGGTTTAAATTAAATATCAAAACAAAAGCAAATTTTAAAGTATTCAGCTAGACATTCAAACTTGAAAAAGCCCATTCCATCAAAAATTTACCTGAAAAAAAAATCACCTTGCTTGAAAGGTAAATCAAAACATAATTTACAAAGAAATATCCATTCCTTAACAGTCAATTTGGCCAATTGATCAAAACACTGAGCCAGTCTGATTTCCCCCTCCCTTCATCATAGGACATTTGAATTTTGCATAAACCGTAAGCATCCAGAGATTTCCTCAGTGAGAAATCTGAAAACCCACTGAGCCATGAGAAAGCTGAACAATTTATACAGATTAATAGATGTGCTCCCCAGTATTGGCCCTGGGGATATACAACCAAATAAAGCATACAATAAAACAAAAAACTGGTGCAAAAGAACTATGAAATAACACAAAGAAATTAAGAGGAAAGTATGAGAAATAACAATAAATCCACATTAGTTACTATACATTCCCAACATTATTTGTACACTCATAACATTCAAAGTATTACGCCGAACATTAGAAATACAAAAAATCCCCAATTCAAAGTTTCCATCCAATGAGGGAACCAAACCCATATGAAATTAATGACAACTGTGTGACAATAGATGATAAAGTTGGTCCTAAAATTAAGGAAGACTCAGGAAGTGGCTAGCATTTGAACTGGATTTTGAAATTGGAGTCTGCCAAGTGGAGTACAATGAGGTAATCTTCAGGCAGAAGAAATGCAATATAACAAAAGCCAGCATAAAAGTAAATTAGTTTTGTATTAAAGATAATGGGAGACACAAAAAGGAGATCTATATGGTTCCTTCCTCTCAAGAAGCTGCGTACCACACTGGGAGACACAACGACATATGAAACTTACAGAATAGTGTCAGAGTCTCAATAGTTTAATTGTATGATGTAATTCTTATATTGCTATCAAAGTTCAGAAAAAAGAGATCAAAACAGAATGCCCTAATTGTAGAAAAGTTTATGGATGATGTGGGACACTTGTTGGGTAAGATTACGAAGTGTCAAAGGTAAGAAGAAAACCGTAAGCAGAAAGCCATAATCAAAGAAACCAGGGTGATGCATGCCATATACAAGACAGTGAGAGAACCAGTGCAAGCCAAAGACAAGCATACAACCCAGGAATAGATGCCAACAAAAAGAACTTCCTTTCCCCTACCACACCCCAACTCCCTTTTCCCACACCATGAAACCCAATCCCACTCCACGAGAGAGCCCAGGTATCCATGGGTCACTTGAGGCAGACAGATATGATGTGGGAGGACTCTACTTGAGAAATTTCTGCCAAACAATCTGTACCAGCTGTTAATCTCCTAGATATTCCTGAGCAGGTACACCTCCTCCCCATTTAGAACCCAAGCTCCAATGAAAACTCCAGAATAAATTCCTGAAAATGTTCTGCAGATCAATTTCACTTATCCAGTTCACTTATGTTACCTTTATCACCATTAGGTGAGGCATTCAAAACAGTAGGTACAGGTTGACCCTTGAAAACATTTTTTTTTTAAATAAATACAGTACTGTAAATGCATTTTTCTCTTTCTTATGATTTTCTTAACATTTTCTTTTCTCTATCTTATGCTATTGTAAGAATACAGTATATGTTTACAAAATATGTGTTAACAACTGTTTTATGTTATCAGTAAGGCTCTGGTCAACAATAAGCTATCAGTTAAGTTCTTGGGAAGCCAAAAGTTATACATGGATTTTCAACTGTGGCAGGTTAGAGGTGTCACTCAAGGGTTGTTCAAGGATCAACTATATTGTCTTTCCTTACAGGGTCTAAGAAAAGAAGGGCAGGAGACAGTAGAAGAGGTACACTTGCAAGAAAGCTGCTTGGGCTTCAGAGACCAAATAACGGAAAAGTAAAGACAATTCTATAGTAGTGTAGCAAAAAGGGAAATGCTGCACTTGCAGGCAACAGATGGGAAGGCCGTAGTGAACTTGGGGAGGCTGTAGAGAAGAGAGTTGGAAAAACTCACTGTAGTTTAAGAACAGATGGATGATGCATTTGAAGACATTCTCGAGGCCCTGTGCCCTGGCTACCAACAATTCTTTACCTTGACTTCCTGGAAATTAGGTGCCAACTTATAAATGGCTCCTTTATTCAAAAATCTGTTCTGACAAAAGGGAGGCGGAGCCTCTTATGGTTTAAACCTAGGGAAAGAGTGTTTATTCTGCTAGAGAAACATATGTTCCAGGCACTCAACATAAAAACTCCGAATTTATTTCAACACAGAAATATACAGTGGTTTGGCTATGGCTATTAAGTGAGCATTATGCTGCAGGAATTCTGAGTCAGATTAACAAGTCTTCGTGGTTTGCCTTGAATACTCAACTAACAGCTGCTCTATTTGTCTAGGAAAATGAATGCACAGTTGAAAGCATACCACTTACAAGTAAACTTGAATCAGGGTTCTTTAATAACTAAGCTACAGTACATGAAATAGGGAAATATGTTTGCTTAACAACGTAAAAAAGGGAGAAAGGCAAAGGAGGCACACACGTAAAAGGCCTGTCAGTAATGCCTTTTACAATCGTTCAATAAATACGACCCTGGCTGAATTCCAAAATTTACTTTTTTTAACTGTATCTTTCGCAAGTACACTAAGCGCAGTACCAGACTACGCCCTGGGAAAGCCATAAGCAAGAAGTGAACGTTAGTTTTCCCCCTAAGATGATGTGGCTAATAGCCTCCCGTAAAAAAGGTCCGGATACCTACATTTCAGAGGAGGACCCCAGGCAACTAAGCGTCAGGAATATGAACTGACGGGTGCGGCGAGGACAAACCTGCCTCGTCATCACAGGCCTTAAACGTAGGCCTGACGGAGCTGGACTCGCTAGGGGTGACGAAATAAAAGCTGGGGTTAATTTCCTCTATCTCTCTCTTGCTCCATTCCCAACCAAAGAATGGACAGAATCTCACCAGTAAGTCGCTACTTGTCTCTAGACGAAGGTGAGGCTTCTGTCGCTTGAAGACGCGCTTAAGAAAGCCCCGGGGAGCCTTCCGTTTTATATACTTTCTCTGGGAGACTGTGGTCGAGAACGCCATTCTCTCCCTCGGGCACCAGCCTCCTTAGCTTCCGAGATCCTCCCGGGACTGCACAGGAATTCACCCTGGAGTGAAGAGCAGGAACCACTCAGCCGCTACGCGGCTTCTTCAGGCCCCCAAACCCCGGCCCAAACGTTTGAATCAGCCGCCGAAAGAGCGCGCCCGGCGCTAGGTAGTGACGTCAACGGGGTGCAAGCCCCGCCCCTGGAATGCCGGCTGTTCAGGGAAACACCCTGGGTAGGCGTTCTGTGACTTCCTTAAAGGTCGAGGCTTCCTTTAATCGCTATTTGTGTTTTACCTGCGCTTTGGTACAGTTCTCCTGTGTTTCTCCTGTGTTTCACAGGTCTGTTGAAAAACTGTGGAAAATGTTGGCATGCCAAGGTAGTTACACTTATTCTATATACTGAGCCTAATACCTATACTAAGAAATAGATGAATAGAAGATTGTGATATTTTATCAGGATTCCTAAAGATTCAATGCCTTCCTAGCAGGGCATGACTTTCTAATATTAATAGCTAACAATTTACACTTTTACGTAATTTCACTTCATCTTACTTGAGGTCTTCTCATGATTCTAGCTTTTTTGTTTTTGTTTTTGTTTTTTTACAAATGCTGCTCCCTTTCATGTTAAGTTCCCTGCACTTAATCTTGCGATTACTTCAGATATAGTTTAAATGCTACCTCTTTGAAATCCTTGCTATTTCCCCCAAATAATTAACTTTGCTATCTTCTGTGCTATCAGTACAAGTAGTCCCTAAACTTCACTGTGATCAGAAGAAGCACCACTGGCGGCGGGGGGGGGGGGGGGGGGGTGCGGTATTCCATAGCTATGTATGGGACTTGAAAATTTGCATTTCTAACAAATAGGTCATGTTGGCGCTGCTAGTTTGAGGACCACCCTGAGATCACTGTGATGTTCACTGTAATTATCTCTAATACTATACCTGTGGTAATTATTGTGATTTCAATATCCACACCGATGATCCTTCCACCATCTGGTCTCCCATTTCGAAGACCTCCTCTCTGCCAGTGATATCTTTCACCCTATCAGCCACTCACACCTGCAGTTATACACTAGGGCTTGTTGCTACCAAACACCATACCCTTCCATATTCTCAATTACTTGTCTCACTCTTCAACCTCATCTATCTTTTCAAATCACTCCTTCCAATGTTACAAATCCAATAATTCTTAGATGTCACTTAGATGGGATAGCAGTCTCTTTCTATCCTTAGCAGGCCGCCAGCCCTTCTGTACTCATTCTCCCTCCTGTGGTCCATTGTCCATTATTAGAATATTCCCTTGCATTTCTCCTCAGCTCTCTAGCCATCTCCAGCTAATTCTCTTCCCTAATCAGATGTGCATATCCAATTCTCTACTGGACTGGAATTTTAAATCATCTTAAATTTCACATATCCAAAATTAGCTCTTGATTGGCCCCTATATCCCAAACCTGCTCCTTACACCAACTTCCCTACTACAGTTGATGGTACTTCCATTTTTCCAATTAATCAAGCCAAAATTTTGGAATCATCCTTGAGTCCCCTCTTTTTCTCACCCCACACTCAATCTTTCATCAAATTTTGTCAGCTCTATTTACAGTCTCTGATCACTTTTGGCCAAGTCACCATCGTTTCTCACTTGGATTATTGCCAACACCCTCCTGACTGTGCCTCAGCCTGTTTCTCTTTATCCTCAACAGAAGAGGCAGGTTTAACTCAGATTATATCACTCTACTCCTCAAACCCCTTCCATTTCCATCAAAATAAAATTTCCTACAATGACTTTTGAGGCCTTACCTGCCTGCCAAGTACAAACACACTTAAAAATACACAATGAACCCTTTGACTTTATCTCCAACAATTAAGGAATTCACTCTCCTCCAGCTGTATTAGCATACTTAATAGCCTTCAGATACACCTGAAATCCACCAAATACACCAAACACTCATCCATCAAGTGTTTGCACTTACTATTCTCTCTGCTAGGAATATTTTTTCCTCATTTATTTGCATAAGTGTCTCCATCACTTCCTTCAAGTCTCTGCTCCAACAAGTATCAGAGAGACCTCCTATTTAATATAGAAATGCCACACATGTAAACATGTATATACCTAGACACACATAGGTGCACATACACACACACAGGTCCAACAGGGTGCAAAAGCTGACTTATCTTCTCAGCATTGTGTTCAGTAACATTTTGTTGGCAGCTAAAAATATTTACACCACTAGAATTGGCAAATACACAAATCAGGGGTTCTTGTTTTTGTTTTCTGGAAAGAAAGTTGTTAAACATTCACCAACCTAACACTGCACATATCTCTACTGAGATGAACATCCTAACCCTGTGGTTTTTCTCTCTAGCATGTTTCACAGTATAATATTTGCTTCTACATATAGAAAAATGTTATCATAGCATTATTTATTATAGAAATAATTGGAGACAGTTGATATTCATTAAGAAGGGAATGGAAATACCTATGGTTGTATGTATTAATATCCCAGCATTGCTGTAACAAATTACCACCAATTTAATGGCTGAAAACAGTACAAATTTACCATCTTTCAGATTGCCGGTCTGAAATCCTAAAATCACAGGGTCAGCAGCACTGCCTTCTTTCTGGGGGCTATAGGAGAGTGTCTGTTTCCTTGACTTTTCTAACTTCTAGAAGCCTTTTCCTTTCTTTGACTCAAATCTCTTTTCTCCATCTTCAAAGCACATCAGTCTACTTTCTGTTTTGATCAGCACATCTTTTTCAGACTTTGATCTGCCAGACTTCTTCTAAGAACCCCTGTTATCACATTGGGCCTACCCAGTTAATCCAGGATAATCTTCTTATCATGAGATCCTTAACTTAATCACATCTATAAAGCCTCTTTTACCAAGTAAGGTAACATTTTCAGATTCTAGAGATTAGAACATGGCTATCCTTAGGGGGAGGGAGAGCATTATTCTGTTTACTACATGATCTCTTCCTGGACTTGATTCTAGAGTAGAACTGTTCAATAGAACATTCTTCAGTGATGAATATGGTCTATATCTGTTCTGTCCAATACAGTAGCAATATGTGACCACTGAGCATTTGAAATATGACTAGTGTGACTAACAATATCAATTTTATTTAAATGTAATTTACATTTACATTTACTAGCCACATGTCACTAGTAGCTACCATATCAGACAGTGCAGTTAAAGCAAACTAACAAGTAATTCTAAGTAATTCTCTCTAACATTTTTGTAGGTATGTGGAAGCCAGGGAACCAGATTTAAAAGGACTTTCAACTTATCTGCATTTTTCATACTTTCTACAATGAGAACACTTTTATTTAAATTTTTGCACATTTGAAACAATAGTTAAGTAGAGTATGATGGTAATAATTGTATTTATCCCTGTAGTGAAGCATTTCTCTAGATATTATCTTATTTGATCTTAACAAAACTATGGTATTTGTAGGGCTGGTATGGGGTGTTATTATTTCTATTGCACATGAAATTAAATGATCAGAGAGCTTGAGTGACCCAAAATAAAAAAGTTTATGTCTAAATAGAAGTTTTAAATTCCACTCAATTGCTTTCCTTTAAAAAGTTTTATTTTTTTATAGACTTTCACCTTCACAGAGTAAAACATTGGAAAATTTCATCACAACCTAAATTTTCAAAACGTTCTTCTTTTCTTTTATGGTTTTTCAGTAAGTAAGTTCCTTTGATTCAATGGGTGAAGAATCACAAGGCAGCTATTGGAACCCTATCCACAAAACTAGAATCTTCCCCAAAAACTGAAAGTGTCTTGAGTGATGACAGCCCTAAGGCCAAATCCAGGGAGAGTAAAGGACATCCAAGTAGAAAGAGCAAGATCTGGACAGGAGTTAGCAGTGATACTAGAAGGATAAATACATCCCCTTCTTTATCCCAACTAGTTTTTTAAGGTAAATTTTGCCCTGATTTGAAAAGCACAAAGCCCCCATGCTACTGCTGTTTACTTTGACATTTAGAAAAATAAAACTTGTTCAAAGAAAATTACTGAGAGATTTTCACTCCTGTCATTCTATTCTAATATGTGAGAAATAAATATAAGTATAAATTTTGAGAATCTTTGCCTTTTTTGTTGGTGCATCTTTTGATGTCTGTTAAGATTCTTTTTTAAATAGGGATGCATTTTTTTTCAGGATCTAGCCTACAAAAATTATCCTCAATATAAAATCCATTTTATGCACAGAGATTTTAAAAATATTTTTTAAAAAAATATCTAACATAATATAATAAAAAACATTATCTAATGTGGAAATTTGGGCACATACATTCATTCAGTTAACTATTATTGTAGCCATATTAAAAATGACACTGATGAAAGACTTAAGCCTAGAAGAAGGTGATGTTAAATGTCAAGTGGGAGAAAAATATGTGTATACCAAGTTAAATATAGTATGACCCCAAGAATATTGAAAAACTTGTATGTCCATGCACCCAGACACTACACTGAGAAGAAATATACCAAAATATGAACTTAGTTTTTAGATAATGGGCATATGGATGATATTTTTATTATTTTAAATGTCCAATATTCTACAATAAACATACTTTAAAAAAGAAATGATGACATATTTCATATTTTAGCTAACATGTTTACTGAATAAATTTCATTAATATATTTCTCTAAGAAAGCTACATTTAAAAACTTTAAAGAATAATTGATAATACTTTCTGGTATTTGACACCATCTTGGAAAATGATTTGATTTTGTTTTTCATATATTGAACTAATGCACACAAATGGAATATGTTACTAGATAATGTTTTCATATGAATTAACATTTTTGGATCATTTAAAATGAAGTGAATGGCTTAAAAGATTGTTTCTGATTTGTGCTTTTGTGCTTGTTAACAAAGTATTAAGAAAGTGTTAATAATAATTAGGTAGAATCTTTTAATTTGCAAAAAGTTTGACACATTGTTTTATTAGAACATTAAGAAAATTGGGTTATTGTAATAATGATTAATCTTTGACAAAGCAGGAAAGAATATCCAATGGAAAAACGACAGTCTCTTCAACAAATGGTGTTGGGAAAACTGGACAGCATGCAGAAGAATGAAAGTGGACCACTTTCTTACACCATGTACAAAAATAAATTCAAAATGGATGGAGGAC